GTGACCAATACCAGATGCCTCAGAGGGAGGGATGATATCAGGTAATCCTCATGTGATCCCTCCCGTCACCCACCTCCAGAGAAACAGAGGCTAGGGACACCATTCCTACCCATCCTGGCTAATAGCCATTGATGGACCTTGTAACAGTTATTTTATTTCTTTACTTTGGAGGTCAAGACATCTTCATGACAGAAGAACAGAAAAAATATTACAATGCAATGAAAAAGTTGGGATCCAAGAAACCACAAAAACCTATACCTAGGCCAAGGGTAAGAATTTTATATTATTTTACATTCATTTGAATTTGATCAAAACACAATGACAAGCTAAGTGTCAAACATTTCTGAATGTTATAGTCGGAAATGAAAATGTATGCATGTTTATATGTGGTCACAGTAGAATCTTTGATTCTCTTCATGTGATAGCTCTCAGATATGAAAGAGTATAAACCAATTCATTTCCTGGGGGGAAACTTAGACTAGCACACTTATTTTCTTCTCTCTCAAATCTTATGTTTCACTGATTTCCAAAGCCTTCCTTTAAAAAGAAATAAACTGCAAAAAGGCTGGTGTGTGTGTGTGTGTGTGTGTATGTGCGTGCGCGCGCACGTACACATGTTTAATAATAGCAGATTCACTATTACTTTTTTTTTCAGAACAAATTCCAAGGTTTTGTGTTTGATATTGTAACAAAACAAGCATTTGATATCAGCATCATGGTCCTTATCTGCCTTAACATGGTCACAATGATGGTAGAAACTGATGACGAGAGTGATGAGATGAAAGATATTTTATACTGGATTAACCTGGTGTTTATTGTCCTTTTCACTGGAGAATGTGTCCTCAAACTAATTTCACTCCGTCATTATTACTTCACCATAGGCTGGAACATATTTGATTTTGTGGTTGTCATTCTCTCAATAATAGGTAAGAAATAATCACATTAAAAAGGAATGTAATGAATTGAAGGACAAATATTTGTTATGCATATTTGGTTTAACAATGAAAGATTTATAAGATCAGATGGTTACTTAGCTTTTGCTTCCCCTAACTATACTATAAACAGGAGACATGTTTTAGAACATTTGCAGCAATCTGTAAAGAAATAGGCTTTCTTAGTATTTCAGTATTTTAATGTCAGTTTGTTTTTCATACCCCACTGTAAAAAGTGCCAAAACAAATATAGCATCTATGCACTGTCTTTTAATAGAAGCTCTTCTGCAAAATTTAAGAAAATACATTATGATTCTCTCCCTATTCAGAATCTCCACTAAGCATAGATATGGTCTATCTTCATTTATGCTGTGTGATATGGAAAATTTAAGTTGTTATAAAACAGACTATCCTTTTCTCTTTTTTTTCTTTTTTTTACAGGTATGTTTCTAGACAAGGTGATTGAAAAATATTTTGTGTCCCCCACCTTGTTCAGAGTTGTCCGACTTGCCAGAATAGGTCGAATCCTGCGTCTGATCAAGGGTGCAAAAGGGATCCGCACTCTGCTTTTTGCTTTGATGATGTCTCTTCCAGCTTTGTTTAACATTGGTCTCCTGCTTTTCCTAGTCATGTTTATCTATGCTATATTTGGAATGTCCAAGTTCGCTTATGTTAAGAAGGAAGCTGGGATTGATGACATGTTCAACTTTGAAACTTTTCCCAACAGCATGATTTGCCTATTTCAGATTACCACATCTGCTGGTTGGGATGGTTTGCTGTCACCAATTCTTAACAGTGGAGACCCAGACTGTGACCCTAATAAATCTCACCCAGGGAGCTCTGTTAAAGGAGACTGTGGTAACCCTTCAGTTGGGATTTTCTTTTTTGTCAGTTATATTATTATATCATTTTTAGTTGTAGTAAACATGTATATTGCTGTTATTTTGGAGAACTTCAGTGTCGCTACAGAAGAGAGTGCCGAGCCTTTGAGTGAGGATGACTTTGAGATGTTCTATGAGGTTTGGGAAAAGTACGATCCAGATGCAACCCAGTTTATAGAATACAGTAAATTGTCTGATTTTGCAGCCTCTTTGGATCCTCCTCTTCTTATAGCAAAACCAAACACTCTTCAGCTTATTGCAATGGATCTGCCCTTGGTGAGTGGTGACAGAATTCACTGCCTTGACATCCTGTTTGCTTTTACCAAGCGTGTTTTGGGGGAAAGTGATGAGATGGATGCACTTCGAATACAAATGGAAGATCGGTTTATGGCAGCCAACCCTTCTAAAGTCTCCTATGAACCAATTACAACCACATTAAAACGAAAACAACAGGAGGTGTCTGCTACTATAATTCAGCGAGCTTACAGGCATTACCATTTAAGGCAAACAGTGAAAAAAGTTTCATTTATGTCTTGCAAAGAAGAGCATGATCTGCATATCAAAGGCGATATGACTCTGGATAAGCTAAGTGAAAACTCATCTGCAGAAAAAACAGATAGGACCCCCTCCACAACCTCTCCGCCTTCCTACGATAGTGTAACAAAGCCAGACAAAGACAAATATGAAAAAGACAAATCAGAAAAAGAAGACAAAAGTAAGGACATCAGAGAAAGAAAAAAATAAAAGGAAACAAAGAATTCCATTTGTGACAAATTATTTACAACCTGAAAAAGTGACATTTATGTCAATAGGGCTGCTGAAGGACGTCTATGCCAAACTTGAGAGTTTTTACGTGTGTGTGTGTGTATATATATATTCATTCTCTCTCTCTCTCTCTCTCTGTCTCACACAAACACACACACCTATCTTAAGGTCAGTGCCTAAATCAAACTGTGACTGTAGAATAACAGCCTTGCCAAGAGAATACGGTTTCCATTATCAGCTGGTACTGATGAAGAGGAGACACAACATTGCTATTTAGACTGTAAGGAACATTGAAAGGGTGCAAATATATAATTCTGTAACCACATGTGTGTTCATACAGAAGTGATTTGCATGAAGGCAGGCTGTACTTAGAGCTCATTCAGGGGAAAACATGATGTTACAAAGAGCAGCAGAGTTCTATTTCCAGGTTTCAGGGTGGATCTTAATTTTGAAGTATTTTGACTATCATGAAATAGAACATCCAGCAAAAACATAAATATAAAGTCACAAAGAATACCCAAAAATTGAAGTCCTTTTTTTTTTTTGCTTGCTTGGTTGGTTGGGTAGTTGTTTTTTATGGGGGTTTTTTTAACATAAATTAAATTTAAACACTGTATTCCATATTTTATTCTAAGTTCTGGAGCTACATTCTGTCTCTGCTTGTCTTTTCATGTGAGTAAAACTCATTTAAAATAAAGGAAGTAACATGTTCAGATCAATGGGAACTTCAAGTACCCATGGGACAAATACTTAAATAGGTAGCAGGTTTAAAACAAACAAAAGGAAGCATTTCTTCAAACAATGCATAATCAGCCTATGGAACTCTTTGCCATAGGATGTTGTGAAGACCAGGATTTGAATGCTGTTAAAAAAAGAGCTAAGTAAATTCATGGAAGATAGGTCCATCAGTGGCCATTAGCTGGAATGGTATCTCCAGCCTCTGTTTGTCAGAACCTGGGAATGGACAACAGGAGATGGATGACTTGATGACTATCTGTTCTGTTCATTCCCTCTGGGGCACATGGCATTGGCCACTGTCAAAACACAGGATACTGAGCTAGATAGACCTTTGATCTGATCCAGTATGGCCATTCTTATGTACTGCCTTGATTTATACCTCATGCGAACAACCCAACTCCCAATAGTGTTGCACAAGGGAGACATGGCAAGAGAAGTGTAAATCAGGGAGGAATTTGGTTCCCATATGTTTTTGTCAAGTGTTCTGCTACAGGAAATGAATCTTCCCAAAACACTGAAATGACCAAATAGATGTAGCTATTCTGCTTTATCCTGCAGTATTTTTAAATGCATCTGTTCTCAGCAAGGCTGATGTTGTAATTGTCAGTGAAATGGCTTTTGATACTTAAATCATTGTTTGACACAGTGGCATGCAGTGGTTTAAGCAAGCAAATAATGACCTGAGCTCAGTATTTATTTCATCAGATCTGTATCACTATAAGTCTAGTTTGGAGACTTTCAACAGGTAATACATATATTCTGTACTATTATAAATAATTTGAAGGCTGTCACTGATGCATGTTATCTGTATCTTACGCCTTGTTGCTGTATCTTATGCCTTCCGAAGTTCGGAAGTCTTAATATGGGAAGCCATTGTCAGAGGAAAAGCGAAACAAATTGTTCAACCAGACAACATTCCTCATATCAGTAAGCAATAGTTTGCTGCTATTTAAGAGCTTTTTTTAATTTTAAAAAGATAATATTATGTGGAGGGGGTGTATAATTGGACTATACAGGATGTGTAAAAAATGCCTTAACTTGTTGAAAGTATGGGATTAGAAAACAGGTTTTTGTTAATTTCTATTTCCACTTATTTTCTATTAAGAAACTTAAAACATGAAATGAGTAGTTGTAAGCTTATGCTTCTAATTATACTTGAATATACTTTAATAATGAAATGATTTCAATAAAGTGGGGACCACAGTTCACTTGTCTCTGAATAGGTTGTTCTTTGTATGTGGAAAAAGAATGGAGAAATTTAGCTGCCTGCATCTGAAGTTTCCTTGATCTTTCTCAGTGTCTGTTTATGTAGACTTATTCTTGTTGATTCATGATGCACTAGAACTGTTCAAAATATAATATAGGATTCACAGTCTTTTTCATACAAACAAGAACAAAGTAGTGAACTTGTGTAATGCATCACATCAGGACCTTTTTGTTTCTTACACAAAGTGGAGTTAAACATAGACTCCTTCTTTTACTAAAACTATTCACGTGTAGTGTACTGGTAAACTGCATGAAGGAAAATGTTTCCCCATAAATAACAGTAAACTACATTACTAACCAGATGAAAGAATAAAGATTACATTTTTATCATATGTGTTTGTTTAATCTGTGTTTTATTATGTAAAATTAATACACAATGTTAAATGGGTTTCTCATAAAGTTAAAGGAAAATGGCTTTAATGATGGGGAAATAGGGTCTATTGTAATTAGATCACTAATTACAATATGGCTCAAGTCAGTATTGATAGGAACTTGTTACTATCTGATTGTTTTTAAATTATGGGAAAGAATTAGTGGTCTCAATTCAATTTTTAGTAAATAGCATCACAACACAATAACATGAGGCACTTGTTCAGGGTATTATAGCATGTGGTCCAAGAACTCAATGGGGATGGTGATTTTAATTACCATATTACTCTCACAGGTCCCGCTAGATGATGTCTGAGGCACTGGCACAATGTGGGGTCCTTTGTGTGCTGCTGATGCCCAGGTGTCACACATTCTGTGAACTTAAAGAGGATTCCAGCCTCCAACACTATATAGCATCTTCCACAAAATTATTAGATTCACTGTTAAGGAAAACAAGAAAATTTAATTTAGAAAATAGAGCATTCAACTGCCATAAAAATAACAAATGTTAAATTATATTTGTCATTTGTGTAGTTATTTTAGATATTTACAACTTTCATAGAACATATAGCTCTTGGAAAGTTATCAGTATTTTTTTATTGACATTGTACTTGGCATTGAGCAAAATACAGAAGTTCTTGGCATCTAAATGCATGGATGGAAACATAGTACCCTGAGAGAGGGATAATTCAATCTTAAAGGGGTTTTTTATTATTATTATCTACTCTTTCTCTCTTCTTTAACATAATGGGCTGGAGAGTTATCACTTTTTGACCTTGCATAGAAATGAATTTAAACTAATTAGAGCTAAAATTTAAGCTCAGAGTTTAACATTTTTAATTAGCTCAAATTAATAGAACTTCCCAGATGTTCATTACCTAAATGGAGTTTCAGTTTTTTCCTCACACATTAATTTGCTTTAAAATTCCTGTATCATAGTAAAAATTAGATATTTATTGTAAAAAATTATCAATACAACTATAAAAACTTCAAAAAACCTCAGCTGTGCAGTACCACTGATTGCATGTTCAAAACAAAACTACTGTTTTTGATTACTGTATTGGATGCACTCTTTTTCAGTGTATAAAACCTACATTATGTTGTTTTCTGAAGATAACACTGGAATGATAGTTCTCTTTTTTACGGTGTATTTTCTACTGTCACATACTAGCATAAACTTGCATTTGTTTGTGGTCATTAGTAACACCTTCGTACCCTATAAGCGTGCCAGCACATTTCTGTCATCATTAATCTTGTGCTGTGTAGGGGTCAATTGCAGAAGAACTCTGTACGTGTGAAGTATAGGGATGGTGAGGCCTGCATTCTCCCCCCTTTTCCATTTTTGCCTCCCCCCTTCCCTACTACTGATGAGCCAGAAGCAAGCCTCTAGGAACATACGCCATTGTAGCAAAGAACGAATTGTAGATAAGGGTGGGAACATAACAATCCTGTTTACCTAAATGTACTGATCATGTAAACAAAGTCAAAGGACAAGCAGTACAGCTGAGCAATACTGTAACAAGCCATGAGTAATCCCCAGAAATTTCCAAACTGCCACAAACAAGGTAGAGACACAGTATTTAAAGCTGCACCAGAGCACAGCAATTTGGACCTCACCGATGGGCTTTGGGTACCGGTGCCTTGGAAGCTGAGACAGTCTCCCATTTCATCTGCAGCTGAAACGGGGTTCCCCAGCTAGCAGAAGGGATATAAGAATGCCGCTTTTCCTATCATGTTGTTCTTTTAGTTAAGGGGAACATCTGATAGCTGTCAGAAAATAAACTGCTTGTGTTTGACATATACCTGTGTAGCATGTCTTTGTACTTTGAGAACCCAGTGTCAAACCTGAGACTTACTCTTGCCGGCAACATGCTGTTGTGATGTTTATTGAAATTGTAATCAGACTTAAATAGGCATTATTTTCTTATAACCCCAATTCTAAACATCTATGTCCTTTATTCCAGTGAAATGTCTCTGAGGAGGGTGGATTTCTGCTGTGTGTTTTATATTAGTGGTAACAGGAGTATGTATGTGTGATGGATAGGAGGAGTGCTCAACAGCATTTGATGACTAAAGGGTTAAACTCAGGTGGGGGTGTTTGCAATGGCAGAGGATATTGAAATTTGAATTGAAAGATATATGCTTGCTATTTTCTTTGTGGGAGTTTTTTAAGCTAGGAGCTGGGGAAAACGAATTGAACTAGGCAGAACTACCATGCCTACAAGGAGTACTGGGCACGGAAATGGACTGGACCTAGAAGCATTGATTGTGAGTAGATAGGAAAAATGTATATTTAGTCGCAATCAGGTATTTTCTTTATTTTGTTGTTCAGTTAAACTTACCCCCCCCTCTCATTCTCTCTATCTAAGGTGCACCCAAAGATACCATTTTTCTTTGTGTTCTTTTCTCAGTTGCTCTGTAACATTTAGCAACCAAGTATGCTTTAGCACATATATCTTTTTGTTTTATTAATAAAATCACCTTTTTTCAAGGTGACGATTTGATTATTGTGTCCTGGAAGGTATCAGGAGGTCTGTGTATGCATGCCTAAGACTGAGAGGTCAGTTATCAGAGACTGATGTTTTTTTACTCTTCTCCAAGCTCTCTTGTGGTAAAAGATCTTGCCTAGAAGGTATTTGGATTTACAGCAGACCAAAGATCTCAATCATTCTCCTTAGACTATAATATCCTGTTCTTTAAAAAAGTTAAAGTAGTAAGGAGATGCGCTAGCATAATGGGGCCATTAGGGTCTTATATACGAACTAGCAAGATTCCAGAAATTCCTACAGTATTCTCTTTTTATTAGTTGCAATGAAATTAAGGTGAAATCCACAGCAAAACTCTCATTGACTTCCATGGGGGCAGATTTCAACCCTTATTTTTTTCAGCTCTGGGTTCTGAGGACTTACTACCGTTTCCCATTATTGAATTTCACATACATTACAACACTCATTGTCTTTTGGTAGTGCTATATGCACACATTGTCTTTTTGTAGTGCTATATGCACAAATTGAGTCCACTTGTATTTTACAAGGGATGGGGTACAAGAGGATTTGAGCTCTATTAGATATGAGATTTATTCATAGAATACTTATGAGATCATCAAGCCTAGGCCCCTGCCTTCATGGCAGGACCAAGCACCATCCAGACCATCCCTGACAGGTGTTTGTCTAATCTCCTCTTAAAAATCTCCAACAATGGAGATTCTACAACCTGCTTAGTCAATTTATTTCAGTGCTTAGCCACTCTGACACTTGGTAGCATGTTCCTAATATCCAACCTAAACCTCCCTTGCTGCAATTTAAGCCCATTGCTTCTTGTCGTGCCATCAGAAGTTTAAGACCTTCATCAGAACAGGGCCTGATGAAATGCATTTTAGAAAACTCATTTAGCCCCTTGAGTTTTCTAAAATGCATTTCATCAGGCCCTAGTGACTAGAAGACATCTAAAATTTTTAAGTAATTTTAAACTTGTTCTTTTCTTATTTTAACTTCTGAACGTACCTCCTTTTCTCCTGCATTCACTATGCTAGGAATCCATTCACCATCAACCTTCTTGGTAAAAATTGAAACAAAGAAGTTGTTAAGCACCTTTGCCATTTCCACATTTTCTGTTATTGTTTTTACCTCTTCATTGAGTAATGGGTCTACTTTGTCCTTGGTCTTCCTCTTGCTTCTAATATATTTGTAGAATGTTTTCTTGTTACCTTTTACGTCTCTAACTAGATTGAGCTCATTTTGTGCTTCAGTTTGTATTAATACGATTAAACTACAATGTGCATCAGTAAAAGAATAGACTCCCACCTTTTATAATAACAGTATACAAGTACCTGTTGTGCTAGATAAGATTACAGAACAGCAAAACCAACATATAATGGCTAAGGAAGTGAGAGAGATTCCTAAACCTGAGCTGCTATTTTTAGGTGACAGATCTGAGGAACTGAGCCATATTAAGGTGCCATTAGAGGTAATTTTGGAACAAAATGATAAATTAAACAGTAATAGTCAGCAAGACCAGATGGTATTTACCCAAGAGTTTTGAAGGAACTCAAATGTGAAATTGCAGAATTACTAACTGTAGTTTATAACGTATAATTTGAATCAGCTTTGGTACCAAATGACTAGAGGATTGCTAGTGTGATGCCAAATTTTAAAAAGGGTTCCAGAGGTGATCCCAGCAATTCCTGGCCAGTTAGCCTGATTTCAGTACCAGGCAAACTGGTTGCAACTATAGTAAAGAACAAAATAGACACATAGATGAACTTCAATAGAAATGTAGCCGTGTTAGTCTGGTGTAGCTGAAGCAAAATACAGGACTATGTAGCACTTTAAAGACTAACAAGATGGTTTATTAGATGATGAGCTTTCGTGGGCCAGACCCACTTCCTCAGATCAAATAGTGGAAGAAAATAGTCACACCATATATACCAAAGGATACAATTTAAAAAAATGAATACATATGAAAAGGACAAATCAAATGTCAGTACAGAAGAGGGATGGGAAGGTGAATGTCTGTGGGCTAATTTTAGCATGAATGACAGTTCAGAGGATTCCCGTTCAAGTGCAGATGTAAAAGGTCTTTGTAGCAGAATGCAGGTGGCTAAGTCATTTAGAGAGTGTCCTTTCTGGTTAAAGTGGCAAGAAACTGTTTTCTCTTTGTGATCTTGTCTGATATCTGTTTTGTGGGCATTAATCCTTTGGCGAAGTGTCTGAGATGTTTGTCCAATGTACATAGCAGACGGACACTTTCGGCACATGATAGCGTAGATTATATTTCTGGATGCGCAGGGATATGTGTTCTTGATCTTATAACTCACTTGGTTGGGTCCAATAATGGTATCAGCAGAATGAATATGTGGACAAAGCTGGCAACGGGGTTTGTTGCAAGGGAAGGTACCAGGGTTGGTATTAGTGTGGTATGTCCTGTGGTTGTTGGTAAGAATCATCTTGAGGTTAGGTGGTTGTCTATAGGAGACTATGGGTCTGTCTCCCAGAGCCTCTTGGAGTATGGTATCCTGTTCCAGTATAGGCTGTAGTTTATTGATAATGTGTTGGACAGGTTTAAGTTGGGGGTTGTAGGTGCACTTGAAAGGGAATCCTCTGAACTGTCATTCATCCTAAAATTTGACACTTTACGTCTGAGTCTAAACAAAGGATCTAGTTATCTTACCCATTACAAAGATAGCTTCCCTAATTATCACCTCTAATATCATTAGCCACAGACATTCACCTCCCCCCCTATCTCCCTTCTGTACTGAAATTTGATTTGTCCTTTTCATATGTATTCATATTTTTAAATTGTATCCTTTGGTATATATGGTTGTGACTATTTTCTTCCACTATTTGATCTGAGTAAGTGGGTCTGGCCCACGAAAGCTCATCATCTAATAAACCATCTTGTTAGTCTTTAAAGTGCTACATAGTCCTGTATTTTGCTTCAG